AACTACAAACAATTTGGTCGTGAAAAAGCCTCCTGTCTTCTTTGGAGCGCGGGGCTTTCCGGATATTCTGATTTGATGGCCGTTGATCAAGTGGAAGTTGATCCATTTGCCGAGCTTGGAAACTGGCTGGCGCGTGTTTCGGAACCATACGAGGAAACATCAATAGTGCATGAACCTGATCAACAGCAAATTAATCCAGACGAGCCGCCCTTGTTTACAGACATTACAAGTATTTTGGTCTAAGAAGAAAAAGGCGTATATTGGTCCCAAAATATTTTCAGGCGATTGTCACGCATTATGTACTGAGTCTTCCACGACATGGAGTCAGATAAAGCAAGACAAAACATTGACACCAAAAAGAATCTCTCTAAAATGGATCAGATATATGGCACACTGTTTCAACGAATGAAAGCACCGATAGTCAGTCAATTCTGGCTAGCGGTGCTCTATTCGCCTTGTTTGAAAGAGACTCTAATACAAACGATTGGATTGGAATTGGTATGAATGTTCATCGCAGGAGGTAAAAAGCTGAGAGATCGCGATATGGCATCGAGGCATTAAAATGGTACACCTAATTAGGAAGTGACCTTTGTTTGACTGCCTGGCTGACTAGCCAGCCCCATTTGAACTAGAATCAAAACATGTGAAACACCATGGTTTCAAATGCCCACAGATCTTTACTCACAAAGCTTTTTTGGTCTGGTTATGCGACAATCCACATTTAATTGAGATACCATATAAGAATAAAACACCTTAATTTTTAAGGATGCTGTTAAAACCCGACTAGAATGAATTTGAATAAAGCCTGACCAGGGCCGCTCAGCTTGATAAAAGTTTGGACTTTCATGTATACTTTTTTAATTTGCTTTCTAGAGTTACGGTGAGGATAGTTTGTACGGCAACTATCGACCAAAATGTATTGCAAAGCATTGATTATTAGTGATAACGTAGTGCAAAAAAGTGGACTGATTAATACTCATTTATCACGGGAAATCTATTGCTTTTATTGTCATTGAGGCAAATCGACTGCTGGTACATCCTTTGATATAACAACACCAAACATTTTACGAATACCAGCTCACTAGACACACTTAAGTTTGTATAGAAATAGGAGTCTTAATTTTGCGCATAAAGCAGTAAACTGTTAATTTGACTTTTACATCTCTAAGTTCAAAATAGCGTTGCACCAAAATTTCTAACTATATTTTAACTATATTTTGTTTTCTCTTTCCAAACAGCGCTGAAGATGTGTCAAACCTTATCTCTGGTATGCCAAAAACTACTCAGTTCATTTTGGTTTATTCAGAAAAGTTGGTTAAAACCCCTTTATTTGTAAACTGTCAGCTTGTGAGCTGTTTTTAACATTCATCTTGTTGAGTAAACTTAATATTGTACTTCAAGTAGACCTTATCTCGGTCAAAATATACGCACGCCCAAAGGCCAAATCAAATGTGGATTTTCTGACCAGCGAACAGTGTGTTTGGGCATTGGTGATTAGTGAATGCAGCTATCTGGTGCAAAACTACTTAAATTTACTGTTGAGCACGGAAGTGCGTAAAAACCGTTCTTATCTGAACGGTTCTCTTACTTGCCTGTTAATTTACAACACACATGAGACTGATCAACACAGCCAGAACTATTAATGGGTCACTGGAGGTTGTAAACGTACTACACACCAAAACAAACAGGAAATCCAGTGTCAGTATCTCTCTTCCGCCATGTATACAACAGTGGTTAGCATCTGTTTGGAAGAGCGAAAATTCCACTCATTCCTAGCGGCAGCAAAGTAACAGATCAGCGGTAGTCGAGACCATTTTTACCATTTGATTTCTGTAGAGCTCAGATGACGTCGTAGCTCCCTGAAGACTACATCTCACAGAAAAACCCGACGCCCGTTCAGCAAATTTAATTCAAACCTTTATCAAACGGTGTATTTTGTCAATGAAAAAATGATTGCCCAAAGTTTATAATCAGGGAATGGGTATTGCTTTCAAAGTTATTGTGACATATGCTGCCCTGTCTCCATCCTCAATAGAATAGAGCAGAGATTAATTCAAACTATTGATCTGTTTCTCCTCAGTACTCTTTCGCTCAAATATTGTCACCTCCTAATGCATAAAAAAACCATCTGTTACTCTTACGATTCATTCTTCTAACCATGGATATAGCGTTGGACAAGCCCTCAGCTCTGAGATAAATCACGTGGAAGATTTAGGGACACTCAAAAATGAATTTTTCTCAAATCTGAGTGATGAACAGTGGTGGACCATACAACTGACAGAGCTTGACACACTTTGGGTATAGCCAACTGTTTTTTGTAGCGTAATGACCAACCATAATATACGTTAATAGTTTTATTTGTGCAACGCGCTTAGTAGAAGAACTACAGCTACATTGCCCCGAGCCAGATGTCATACTGCTGAGTTTTGACTCTGATGTTGACCGGAGAGAATATGATTAGTGGGAAAACGTGCAATTATCCGTCTGAAGCTCTCTGTCGGCCTAAGTACGAGTAAGCGCAGGTATTATCTTCTTATTCACCGTGAAGCTGTTGGCGTGATCCATCAATTTTCCTAGGTTTCAGAGATCAGGAAATCGCACCGTATCTTGCTGTGCAAACGCTGCCGACAGCCAATAAATAGCACACTTTTAGGGGATCAGTAGGTAAACTCTTATTTCTAAACCAACTATACGGTTAACGGTATTATTCTTAGGATAAAAGTATCTGACCAGTAGTGGTTAGACCAAACAAACAGACCCATCTTGGTTCCAGCCGTTTATGATTAAATGATAGCTGGGGAGGCTGGTCCTACTAAGGGTCGTGCTTCCAGAATTTGTTCATGTCCGCACCCTCAGTGCTTTAATGGAAGGCCTGATTGCCGCCTAAATGACTCCTATTTTCGCAATATTACAAGATTTTGCTTCAGAAAACTTCTCACACCTGCGCGAATAACAAAGTTTAAAGTGATTTTATTAAGTATCGCGCCACCCCAAGAGCCGAAACGCAAGTGGCACTTTTTCATATGAACACGGTCTCCGTGGCGACCTTTTGCGCGTTTTTGATTTTGGGCCTAATTCACCTGTTAACCATAAGGTGTGAGGTTCGTCCACCTGCTTTAAGTCGTAGAACTAACGTAACCGGTTTCTTATTAGTGTGCATTCAGAGCTTTTCTCAAAAGTTTCCGGTATCAAATATTTTGTCCTTCCACTGTACACGAAGGATTTCACAACAAATACACTATTGCGCATCAGAAAAACGTCGTAACGTACATCAACTTGTACTTCAACCTCCTAAAGTGTTTGCTCATTAATTAAGAGAGCGAAATTACACTTGTGGGAATCTCCCAGTAAATTCCTATGGAATCAAAGTATTACCGTCATTCATCTTGGTAAATTTCCCCATCGTGGTGTTTCAAAGTGCTTTCAAACACGACATTCACCTGATAATGATCTCAGTATTTTGTTCATCTCAGTATCCTTTTTTGTTCGGCACGGTAAAGGGATTGTGTGGAATGCGCAACTCGACTGCTTCCCATACCTCTAAGGCTCAGTATGATAAGAGATTTACTGTAATGGTTTAGCAGCTAAATAGGCTCAAGGAGTGAGTATAGTTTTAGTCACCCGAAGCTCTTTTAACGTAAGCAACACTGGTGCAGTTTATTTTTCTTTGTGATTCGTAGAATTCTGAATGTTTTGAAAGGCGTTAATTGTCATGATCATACTGCCAAATGAATATTACTAAACACAAAGTCTGAGTAATCCACAAGAGAGTGTAGGTGTGTTGTACGCAGATATATGGGGAGATGACGCATGATGTGTGATCGCTTTGCCATGAATAGGTCATTTTTTGATTACGTCGTATCCAATGAACCCTGGTACAGTGAAAGATAAATAAGGCACTCCATGCAATGCCAGAACCACAAAGCGAATCTGTGGTTGTCAACCCAGGATATGATTACTATCAATCTCAATCTCAACACGCAACAAAATTGATGGATGTTCTCCGCCAGGAAAAAACAATTTCGCGTCTCGAACCGATAGCAAGACATTTTCAGAAATGATAGCAAACCGCAGTAAATAGAAGGTTTTACTTAGAAGTCTCCTGACATCTCCAGTTTTTCTGCACCTGTGGAAATTTAGCTCGCATTCAAGGATTTTTACCGCAATTGTTGAGCCCTGTCACAGAGAATAAAAATCTGAGGTAGTTTCCTTGGTGTGTCTGCTTTGACAAGCAACTTCGTTTCACCACTCAAAGCCAACTGCTTCCAGAGAAACAAAATAATCCAGCGAAAGATTCATTTCTTACTTATCCCGTTGGTTTGCCACATCAGATTAAAACGTTTTTTGAAGAAATAAAGTAAGAAAACAATCAGGCATATCTTAGTTTCTTGAAAAAACAAAAAGCACGGGCTGCGAAAAATTGAAGAAGTGAAGAATGTTTTGTGTGACATTTCTAACCATCGAACATTGTTTCTTCGTGAGAATAAATTATGTCGCCTACGCCATTTTTCTGTTGCTTATTATAAAATTGCCGCACATTTTCAATATCACTGTAGAGTCAGACGAAACCAAATGTTAGGATGAGGATATTTAAGCGTGCTAAACGCATTTGGTGCATAATTTCTTCAGAAGTGATTTTCCATTGAGTTTCTTTCGCTAAACCTTTCCGATTTCTACTTGGTGAAATGAACTATTTTTTACTTTCCGTTAACTTCGTTAAAATTTCAAATGTCACACTACTCGGTGACCATAAACATTACAGATAAGAAGTAAAAGAACCCTTAAAGAAGGAATGAACAGCGACCTGGAATTTGTGAAAGTTTATAGTACATAATTCGCTTGGGATTACCCTCGTAGTGTAATGAGAGCACAATAAGTGGTTGGCAAATGGATCAGGTTACTCAACTTTTCATGAGTCCGAATGACTCTTGTTTCATTAATAGCTATCCAATAGTCTCCAGCATCCTACGGTTTCCGTCGGTATTTATTCACCAATAAGCATGCGCCTGTTTGAAGCGAATTTCGGCATTAGTGTTGGTCTACCCACGACTGTTCATAACGATCAACAGCATTTTGGAATGGCCGATGCGGTAGTATTTCGACTGGTGTTTGCTGGAATTCTGATGTGCATGCTGTACTTACACTCAGCTACATGTCTACCAACCTCAGAACTGTTGAAACGATTCAGCAAAGAAGAACTTGAAGCAAAGATGAAAATTATAAAAGACGCATACGAAAAGATCTTGGATAATAGGATGCAAGAGCTAAATGCGTTTTATCAACTCCATGGACGGCCAAGGTAAGAGGCAAGCGAGAATGTACCAGTGCTGTAAATTTCGGATATAGATGAGGATTTAAAATATCGTAAGCGGTTACGAGTGTGATTATATTTTGAAAATGTCTTTCATCATCATCAGTCATTAGTAGACTGCAGTTTTGCTGATTTTTTTCAATGATTATAATGTAAATGCAGAAGAGAGTTGTCTGTTGAAAGCTCTGCATTGGAACCGATTGTGTTTGATATAGTCCCAGTGACTATTCGAATGGGTTTCCACATCATATTCTGCTTCGGATGGTGATACAATCAGGCAATTCAGACAACCAACCAATTTTTCCGTTACTCAATTTTGTGAATCATTTAACACACATAATACAAAAATATGCAACGAAAAACTCAATTATTCGTAGAAGTCTGACGTTTTAAGTTTGTGTACTGGGAAAGTCGGTACCTGCGCGACAATAAGTCAACACAATCTTGACAACACATACTTAGATCAGTCTAAGCACGAACGTGGGCAATGTGAGTGAAATTTAGTTGATTATCTCACGTGGTGCTGCGTCAAACCACATATTGTAAGCCATTCAGCTCCGGCTGACTGAAAAAAAAATTGCCGTCAAAAATTGTTTTTACATTCCTTAAGTTCAGTGGTTAGGTCTTACGTGGTATGTGTGTGCTTGTTTTGTTTGCATCAGCTGAGGTGTGGAATATTCATGCTCCCTCCTTGAGTATTTGAAAATTAAACTCTGTTGCTCATGGGACAACTGTGGATGTATGCGCCTGATTTGGTGTTCTAAAACGGAATATGTGCTTATCCGTCCACATTTAACGGATTGTCGGTCTCACTTGAATTTTCCTTGGCTTGATCAAAACAGGTTGCTTGTTTTACGATCTAACCAAAGAACACAGCATCAAGAGACCAAAGAACATTTGACCGCAGAACGATTTTGGAAATTAGAGTTGTCTGCTCACAGAAGGATGACTAATAATGCCTCCGGTTGTTGATATGAACAGATATAAAAGGTTCCGCGATATTTCACTTAACAATAAACAACCTGAGCTTTGTCGTGTTTTATACGACAGGACTTCAATTCAGAGTGTAAATCCGGATGTTTTCTGTCTGAATTTTGAAAAGTCTAATAATGTGGTGTGAATGGTACGCAATGTCGGGTAAGTATATTTTAAAAGTATCTTTGAATTTCTGTTCTGATAGAAGGATGGGAAAAACAGTTTCGTGTGCCATAAATTATTTAACTAATCTGCGAATTTGATTAAAACCGCCTAGTTGTTTGTTAAAACCATTAGTTGTCCGTGGGTCTAATCAAGAGTTTTTTTGGTGTATCCACTTTGCGGCAGAAAATATGCGGTCACTGTGATTTCAGACGGATCTTTAGTCATTTCATCTGTGGAAAAATTTGTTGGTGGTAATGAAAACGAAAAAGAAGCTTTAGTAGATACATTCACACGAGAACAACTAAAGATACATTAAAAATGATTTTATTTGTTTTGAAGTTTTGACCTCCATCCCGTCAGCACCACTTTCGGTAGTCATGAAGTAGTATGAAGTTTGTGGAAAAAGAACTCCGTTTTCTAATAATATTTCTAACTTCTTGTAAAAAGAACTTGATAAAAATAGAAGCAGTTGTCAGTCGTCATTTCATCGTCCGGTAGACGATGGAATATGAAAGAGCACCTTAAAGTCTTTTCAGTGCGAGAGATGCACAGTGGCGGAAATGCAAGATAATCAACAAGAGTAGAGCTTCCTATAAGCTCTAGATTTTGGCGAGTCGTGGTAAGTTCACGCTTTTTTCAGACGATAATTATCTTTTAGAGTTTTGCGATAATAAGGAAAACATAGGTGGCTTCCGCTTTTACAGAATTAACAGCAGCACTCTTGGGAGTAAACTGAAGAAATTGTGCCATCCGACCATGTGTTTGTAGAAATATGCGGACCCCTACACCGTTAGTAAATCATTCGAGCTTCAAGTTTGTAATTTGTGGACTTCCTTTAAATTTGAAACTTCTTGCTTCCATGTTTTCACATTTAGTCACAGGATCCCCAGATGTTCTGGTGGCCGATATTATCCTGGCTTCTTTTTAACACAGCGTTTACCATTTCACAGCCGGGATGATCTATGAAGGAAAGATAGCTTTCGCGTTGGTCACAAATAGGAGCTAAAGACCTGGGCGATTTAATGGGTGTTTTGTTTTTTCTTGTGCATGAAGACTAGACAGATTTGTTTCTTACTGGCAATCTGATGATGAGAGCACAGCCAGCTGGGTATACAATGATTTTATGTGCAGCCCAGTTTTTCCGTTTGGTGCTGATTACGCTTCAAGTTGTAATTTGTGGACTTCCTTTAAATTTGAAACTTCTTGCTTCCATGTTTTCACATTTAGTCACAGGATCCCCAGATGTTCTGGTGGCCGATATTATCCTGGCTTCTTTTTAACACAGCGTTTACCATTTCACAGCCGGGATGATCTATGAAGGAAAGATAGCTTTCGCGTTGGTCACAAATAGGAGCTAAAGACCTGGGCGATTTAATGGGTGTTTTGTTTTTTCTTGTGCATGAAGACTAGACAGATTTGTTTCTTACTGGCAATCTGATGATGAGAGCACAGCCAGCTGGGTATACAATGATTTTATGTGCAGCCCAGTTTTTCCGTTTGGTGCTGATTACTAACACGTTTTCATTCGTTGATTTTCTACACGGTTTTGAAGGGGGTTGTAAGAAACGTGCGAATATGATTACCTTAATGAATAAAATGGATGGATGTCTCCGCTCAGAATGTATACATCACTGCACTGCTAGATTTGTGCGACAATTAGCAATAGCACACAAAATATCCGGTTTTAATCCGGTGAGTATATTGGTAGTAGCAAAAATAGTATCCATGTTAGTCTGCATTTGAATGGATATCCTGAAACCCCATCGGATGAAAAATGAAACGTCTGGGTAGTATTCCAATCCAGCCCATTGCAATTAGCCTCCTCGTTGTTAGTTTACAATATTTTCACACAATTCGTATTGGTGACGCATCTGAGCTCTCCTGGGCCAGATCGCACAATAACTTGGAAGCGGCCATTCTCTTACGGCATTACCAACCAGCAATCACCGCTTATCAATGCAAAATGTATTTTTGTCAGATTGTCATTGGGGCAAGACCAAAAGGCATATACTGTCCTTGTTTCTTGAAGTAATCGAGTGTGCCTATTTTATAGGAGACAGTTTCGGTCTGCTTTACTGGGCGTTTAATGAGTGTTCATTGTGTAACATAATCCAGATACAGTTTTCCGTCTTCCCTTAAGGAATAAAATGCTGTTTCGAGTTAAATCTTAGTGGATTAGCAGATAAATATATGTTACATCTTATTTGAATTTACTAGGCGTATTTTGGCACTTTAGCTCGGAAAAACAGAATTTTTCTTGAAAATCATGAGCTTTCTCTGGTGAGGCTGGCCATACTGACCTGTTATCTCCTCAAACTTTCACTACCACTATATCATTCAGACCCTAGCCTGTCTTAGTATGTGTTACACCAAATCTGATGCAATAGATTTTTTCATAACATTCAATGCGCGGACCGACTATGTGAAGCTTACCAGGAATTACATTAAAATTCATTGATTTCGTAGCTCAGAAATACTAGAAATGGTCCACTATCCCAGCAACTAGTTTCGTAACGCAAATTTAAAAATAATACCTTAGTATAGGGCAAGTCGCTTCCGGATTGCTTCCTTATTGAGTCTCTCAGGAGTCCTAACCTATTAGATCTACGCTGCTCATTTTAGGTAATCCCTAGAGGTAATAATTTACAAGGTGATTTAAATGCAACCTAAGGCATTTGCTAGGTTTACAGACGTTCGTTGTGCGACAGACCTAATGAATACGTTTCTCACGTTTCTCCAAATAAACGACAGGCAGTTTTATTTGGAGAAATTAGGACCAAAAATATTTTGGTTCTTGCGAGTATTTACCTAAGCTGTATTTGATGTTGATTGTTTTAGTAGCCAAACTTATCAAGGAATAACGAGTACTTTTTCTCCTTGGAAGCCAAATTGATACTAACTTGTAAACAGCAGAATGGAGAAAACCAAAATTCAGTGAGTAAATTGTTTTCTCCCGGCCGCAGCGATTGTGGAGATAGGATTTCTTTGTATGACTAAGCCATTTTTACAATTTTGTCGTGTTCAACCAGGACCGACCCGCCCATATTCATATTACAGTGATTTAGCGTGAGAATTTGAAGATTCGACCAAGCCACTAATGATTTGAGTGAACGACGTCGGCAGCTGATAGACTGAGAAGCGTCAGGTGCGATTCTGACATGCGTGGGTGTAACAAAATGCATTAGCTACTCAATACTATCTGTATGATGCTACGGTAAAATTGGAGAGGTGATTTTCAAAACGATGTGTTTTCCGGAAAAGCGTTTGAGGATAACAATGTAGATTTGATCCGAAAAAATGGTATTTCCGTTTGTTGGTGATGACAATTGGATGCAAGAATTAAGTGCAGCAATCAACGGTGACGCAAGCGTTGAAAAAGGGATTAGAAGAAACAAACAGTACAAGATTTTGGAGACTGTAGATATCATTGAATGTTCGCTAGGACTGATAAGATTTGTGCGTTCAGATGTAATAGGTCAGATATTGGAGAATTTGAGGAAAACCGATGGGTAAGTCAAAATAATCTCGTCATACTTTGTATTTACTTCTTACAATTAAGTATAATTACTTTTCGTACTGTCACGAGTTTCATCAAGCAAAGGCGCGCGTCTTTTGACGGAAAGTGATGTGTCCCTAAAGCCGTTCGTTTATTCCAAGCAGATTTTTAGTCGAAGGACTTATGTGTCCGACGTAAGGAAAATACGTATAAAATATAAATCTCAGGTTGTACAGTAAAATTTGGTTGCCCAATGCATAGGAAAAAATTTAATACTGGCAAAATTTAGTTTCTCTTCATTTTGCATTAAATTACCTTTTACAGTCTCCTTGTGTGTGGATAGTCAAACGGG